AAATATAAGACAGACTGTGAAAGTACTGCCTTGGCATACTGTTGGCCAGCATTTGTTTCAGAGCAGACAGTCCTGTTTTTTCCCAAAGTTATGAGTCAATTTGAAAGAAAACAAATAGAACCAGGGTATGTGTAAGCTTCTCTTTGAATACCTGTGAATTGTTGAGATGCAAAGTCAATGATTAGCGTTAGCTTTATTCAGTGAACAGTACTTGCTTGAATTATGTACTTTCAAAATATTAATACAATTTGTTGTAAGAAGAAAAACTCTAGGTCTTTCTTGATGACAAAGATTTTGCTTAATTTTGCTGTTACTCCTGATAAAAATGGTATAAAAGCTCAGAGAGGGTTTAAATATTCCTGATAGTGAGATGCCAAATGAACTGATCTGACCCTTGGCTTTTGCTCTAAACCTTATTTAGAAGAATTACCAGTGATCCAGGGAAAGACAATAAATGACAAATATAAACAGCTTCATCTAATCAAGTATTCAGTTCATCATTGACCCATGGCCATGTACCTTGTTCATCTACTTTTTTCTTTTTTCAAATTGTGATATAATTTACATATAACACATTAGTTTCAGTGTATGACACAATGTGTTTGTGTGTGTATATATATATGTGTATATATGATATATTTGCACATATAAATATATTGCAAAGGGATCACCATAAGTCTAGTTAACACTTGTCGTCATATATAGAAAAATACTTTTCCTTGTAACGAGAACTTTTAAAATCTCTTTTAGCAACTTTCAAATAGGCAGTACATTATTAACTATAGTCACCATGCTGCGCAGTATATAGCCATGGCTTATTTTATAACTGAAACTGTATTTCTTGACCTCTTGACCTCTTTACCCAAGAGGATATATTACCTTACCTCTGACAAAATCCAACTGTTCTCTATATCTATGAGTTTGGTTTTTTGCTTTCTTTTGTTTTTGAAATGCCAAATATAAGTGAGAGCATACAATATTTCTTCACTATCTGAGTTATTTCACTTTGCATAATGAATAGAGAAAAAATAAATACTGATTCATTCTACAACATGAATGAGCTTCAAAGTGGAATGAAATAAAATTCATACTTTAAACTCAGTGTAACTCAACTAAGTGATGACGCCAATTGTAAAAGACCACATTTTATATGATTCCATTGAAATATATCCTGCATAAGTTTGCAGCAACATGGATGGAGCTAAAAGGGATCATGCTCAGTGAAATAAGTCAGAAAGAAAAAGAAAAATACCAGATGGTCTCATTCATAGCAGGAATTTAGAAAACCTAAACAAGGGACCAGGAAAATGACTAATTAATACAAAGTAAAAATCAAAATCAACAAGCAAATATAAACCAGAGACACACTATGGGGAGGGGGGGAGGAAAAGAGTGGGGAGAGGAAGGATAGGGTCAAAATAAGGGGTGGTGGTGCAATTGTATGGGGAATATAACCAAAATGAAAATGCATGCATTGTGTAAAAATGAAAAATGATGTAAGAATTATATAAAGTAAATATATATATCCGGCATAGGCAAGTTCATATAAATAAAAGGATTGATTTTGATTTTTACTTCATTATAATTAGTCTTTTTCCTGGTCCCTTATTTAGGTTTTCTAGATTCCTGCTATGAGTGAGACCAACCCGGTATTTTTCTTTTTCTCTCTGGCTTATTTCGCTGAGCATGATCCCTTCCAGCTCCATCCATGTTGCTGCAAATTGCATGAGTTTATCTTTCCTGATTGCTGAGTAATATTCCATTGTGTATATGTACCACATCTTCTATAAGCCAGAGACACACTATGGAGGAAGGGGAGGGTTTAGGGTCAAAATAAGGTGGGGGGGAGAAGATAGTATGGGGACTATAACCAAGATGAAAATGCATACATTGTGCAAAAATTAAAAATGATGTAAAAATATATATAAAATAAAATTAAAAAAAATAAAAAGGATATTGAGGGTTATGAGGAGATGGGTAGTGGTTTGAGAGGAATGCATCTAATGAAGGTGGAGTGTCTTTTTGGTGTAATGAAAGTGTTCTGAATATAGATAGTGGTGATAGCTGCACAATGTTATCAGGAAACTAAGAATTAATAAATTGTATTGTACAAAAGGGTGAATGTTATGTGAGTTATATTTCAACAAATCTGGTGTTAAAAAAGTTATAGTGAGTTGATATTACATCATAAAAAGTCTATACTTTTAACTCTATTTTTTCCCATACGAGTCATAGTTTGTCTACATTTCCTTAGTTTTCTTTTTTCTCATGTAACATTTTCATACCTGGTAGTCATTTATTGATCATTATTTGATACTTATTTGCAACAGAAAATATAAAAGTGTATGTATATTTTAAATAAATATTTCTATTATGACTAAAAGATACCAAGTTTTAAGTTTTTGTTCAGAATGGTGGAATCATACAAAATTTAGAAACAGATAATGTTACAAGTATTTGAAATCATCAAAAATGTTTTAAAAAATTTTGGTTTTTAACTGATGATTAAATTATGTCTTCTTTTAATTTTGTTAAAAGCAAAGAATTGGAAACCACCTGACTTGGAAAAGAATATGTTACCTATTCATTATTTAATTTCTCAGATTTTTGGAAGATATCCAAAACTTATGAATTTGCCAAATCATATCAAGATGACTTGATTGTTTTGTTACTTTCACCTTTCCAGTATAATGGCGTGAAGTCATACTTTTCTTTTTAAAGATTTATTTATTTATACAACAACGGGGGTACAGTCAGAGGTGCAGGAGGGTGAGAGAATTCACCAGAGAGAGCGGGGAGCAGAACAGGCAGACAGACCAAAATACATTGCTGAGGGGAGCAGCAAGCAAGACAGGAGAGGTCTGCCATGCCATGTGGGTTGCTCCCTAGACGGCCAGGAATCGAACCTGCGCTGCAGAGGCTGCGGACAGCTTCACAGCCCAGCGCTCAACCCGCTGCACCACGGGGGAGGCCCTGTGAAGTCATACTTTTCATTAAATTTCCTTTATGTACTATAAATTTTCATCAAAAATAGAATTGCATATTTTTATTATGGGAGATAATCTACCAAATAAGTTAATTATCAAAGCATTCATCCAGTCTTTCATGTAATGTCTATGTCCTTTTTTTAATGGAAGATACAAGGTTTTTTTTTTTTAAAAAATTCATTTAATACTTTCACTATAATTAGATAGCATGGGTCTGATTGTTTCATTTTATAGAGTATAAAGTCAGTTATGAAAGGGAAGTGGAAAATTATTACTCTTAAGATAATAGGTATATGTCCTTAGCAGATCTGCATTTTTTAATTCTCATGTTTTACATCCTAATATGCTATACTACATCAACCTATGTCCTAATACCAAATTATCCTTTGTTCTTGACTTGTTTCATGTGTGTATGTGTGAGGTGTGTGTGTGTTTATGAGAGTTCTGTTCGGTATTACACTTAGAATTCATTGGTTCAATATGTTAGCGATGTTCTCTTGATATTTTTGATAAAAGTTTGATCTAGACTTGAAGTTAAGCTTCTGTTTATATATACCCCTTTAAAACCATTCTTTGCTTCGTATCCCTTTCAAAGTCTTTATCTCCAGGAATATACAGCCCCAGCTTGAAGACTACTGTTCTGCTCTTTTTTAATTTTTGTGAATAGAATAGCCTTTTGGAGCATACATTTTATTTGTGTGTGTATTGTGTACAGCAATATTAATATGATGGTGTACTTCCTCTTCACTTGAATCACATTTTGCTGGAGATCTCATGCTTATGTATGTTTGCCTTCCACATCCCTCTCCTGCATTCATGACAGATATCTCTAGGTGCCCAAATTGAACTTCAGAATCCCTCACAACTGGCACCTTCTCCTAGTTGATGGGAACAGACATAGGAGGTGATTTGTTTTCATAGCAATTTTACAGATTTCCTTAGCATATTTCTGTTTTATCTTCGTAGTTTAGATTTTCGAAATGATTTTTAATTGAAGTAATGTTGCCTTTTAACATTATGTAAGTGTCAGCTGGGCATCAATATAAATCACTTAAAGTTGAGTTCTGTCACTCACCATACAATTGACCCTATTTATCCAATTTTGTTAATAAATGTGATTTTCTGTGATTAAACTTATATCCTAAGTCACCTTGGAAAAAATGTATTGGGAGACAATTCTTAATGGACTTATTGGTTTTCTTACTGGTTTGTGAACAGAGCTTTGCTTGCCTTTGTCTGGTTTATCTTTTCGAGACTATTTCTGTAGTGAGCAGCTTGAAAGATCGAGTGACTACAGTCAATGGTTTGTAAGATAGTGCTGCTCCCTCCCTTTAGAGCAAAGGGGTAAGCATGTTACTGCCCTTTTCAAAGATCAGATTCCCAAAACTCAGGGTTCCTTTTCTGTATCACAGCCCACTGCAAATGAAGGTGCCAGCTGGCCCTGTTCCAGTTGCTCTGAGAGTAGGACTTGGAAATGGAGCAGGAAAAAGCTGATTTCCTAGCTCCTCCTATTGTAATAAATTCTGTACCTCTGACCCAAGAGTCTTACTTCTGCCAGCACTCATGAGATTGTGACAGCCTAACTTGTTAGCTTCACAACTCTTGACATTATGTAGGAAGTACAAATAAACAAGCAAATAAATAGCTATCAGGGCTCTGCTTAGAAATGTCATTTTTATCCATGTTTTTCATTAAAAAACTCCACTGTATATTATTTATATAAATGTAGCATAGGTTTTTTAGATTTTTTTCTCAGGTTAAAATAAAGTTTTGGCATAATTTTGCTTTTTATATTTAATGACAGTTTTAAAAGCATAATGAGCCATCTGTTTTTCTTATGCATTTAAGTTTGTGTGAGTGTGTGTGTGTGTGTGTGTGTATTCACATACTCATAGATCGGTGTCTGTATTTGTTTTGAAAAACCAAATCAATCTTGCTTTGCTTAGTCACATTTTAAGAATTAATCTTAATTCCATACATGTCATTATGATGTATTATTTGCCTCTATTCCAGAATATTGGAAAAAAGATGACCTGCCAAGAGTTCATTGCAAACCTCCAGGGGGTAAATGAAGGAAGTGACTTCTCCAGAGATCTACTAAAAGTAAGCATTGATATACGGGTTTTTAAAATATGTCGATGCTTATATTTTCTGCCTTTTGATAGAAAATAGGCTAAGAATCATTGAAGTGCTTTGTTTTTGGTATTATTGGCAGTGTTTCTGTTGGGCCTTGTCCTTGGTGTGTCTAACTGCAAAGTACTCTTAAATTAATAATTTCTTGAAGTCCACATGTTTGTAATACTGAAATCATACGTAGATTTGAAATAATTGCTGATGCCAGTACTAAGTGAGCAGTTTTTAATTTATTTGTAAGTAGACTCAGAATGTGAGAAAAGACTCAAAGGTATATTCAGTAAGGAAACAAAAAGCAGTTGAAATATTTCAAGACTATAATGGAAGCAGTTCTGACTATATTCAGTCTGTAGTCACAGAACCACTCAGGTTGTCTTTGGAAATATATTAAAGTAAATTTGAATAAATCTAGAATGCCTGAATAATTTTCTCTCTGCTTTATTCTTGGTAGCAGTCAGTGTGACTTTCCCTATCAGATTGTTTTCAAAGAGACAACAAAATCAACGTAGGAACTCATAACATTCTATAGCAGTATATGTGAGATGTCTGTTTGATCAAATACAAAATAGTTATTGATAATGGATGTGAGTATTTTAAAGGTTCAGTATAAGATGAATATGTTGAGAATGTGACTTTTTCAGATTTCCATTTGAATCTAGCCTTCTTTTTAAAAATTATGTGGCCATGCAGATTTTTTTTGGGGATCAGTTCCTTTGAATGAATTTGCTAAGAAGGCAACACATTTGAATCATGCTATAACATGGAAATGTGCCAGTCAAAAGATGATTCCTATATTTTATTTGATTTTTAAACTATATAAAATATACAGGATGGAGTTCTGCCAGATTTTGAAAGACTTTCATAGAAAATGAAAAAAGGTATAAAATATGGTATAATGAGATTCTAAATCTTCTGACTTTAATTGTAGCTCATTAAAAAATTACATTATGAAAAAAGCAGGGATAAGAGTAGCTTCCGTTTATTAAATAAGGAAGCTATTTTTTAAATTGTTCCTTTATAGAACAAATATTCCCTTTTCTGATGTTACAATTCCAAATGGAAATGGGAGCTAAAAGGTGTTGGATTGGGACATGATAAATGTTTTGTTCATCCATTGGAACTACACAGTAGACATATGTTAACAAGTCTTTTTTTAGTGTAGTGCTATTAGCATGGAAAATAATGGAGTCTCTCAAAGAGAATTTGTGAGGCTTTTATCAAGTTATGTCAAAAATGAAAAATTGACAGGAAAATTTCTCATAGTGAAGCTTTTAGATTTTAGTGGTAGGTTTAGAGTGACGTGCGTGACTATGTGTAAATTACTGGGCAGATTTAGAGAATATTTGATGAAGCTCTCTGAAACCAAATGTAGTTAACATACAGTCCATCGGCTACCATTCACCTTGGGTAAACATTGCTTCTTTAATTTACTCTGTCAAGAATTTGCTGGATGATTTCTTGTAGTTGTAAAATTGAGATCATGTTTACAAACCTTAGGGGGGAATATGTATTATACTTTTCTTTATTTACTTGGGAAGATGACAGTGAAATGACACTTAAATGACAGTGGCATTTAGCATAAAAATTGTCAAGTAAAATATTGATTCCCTTTCATAACAAGCCCCAGCGACTCACCCACCCAAGCTGAATTTTATATTTCATTATGAATCTGGATTTTACTGCAAATTTCAACAAAAAAGTTTTCCTCCAACCGTCTTGTTTTATTTCACTTTCTCTGTGGCTGTTTCTTTCCTCTTCCCTTCTCCTGCTTTCCCTCCCTTTCTTCTTCTCCTGTTCTCTTTATTTCTCTTTTCCTTCCTTTTCTTCTTTATTTTTCTGTTGATCTTATCTTCTTTCTCCATAGATAAATCTTGATTCCATGCTGACATAAATTATTGGATGGAATATTAATTTGAATTTTTTTGACAGTATGATTTTACACATGCCACACAGATACAAGTATATAGATAAACACAAAATATTTGGTATCATCTTGCAGGTTATATAAGTCTCTAGTTAAAAAAAAGTTATAGTCATCTACAATATTCACTTTAATTTATGAGATGAGATGCTTAGAGTTACATGACTTGAACTGAGGCTTTTATTACTTTTAGATTTCCTTGGATCAAAGTAACATTTGATTTTATATCTATTGTTTAGATTTCTTTGGGCCAGAAGTAATGTTTCCGCTTATCTCTGCTCTACAGTGTTATTGCTTGTTGGGAATATTTACTGAAGATCCACTGCATGTAACCAGGTGTTTGGACTTAAAGAATGTGCTGGAACCAAATAGACCTCTGTCCTCAGGGATCACAAACTACTGAAAAAGATGGAAGGGTCTTTCTGTTTTTAAATGACATTTATTACATATTTAAATAAAAGAGGAGACTGGGGACTGGGCTTTTCCACCCAGTCTCCTCAGGGCAGGTACATAGGAACTAGTGTGAGTGCTGGCATGTCATCTTATGCATGTTTCTGAAGCTCTCTCTAGAATAATCTTTAAAATTAAATTTCTTGAATGCTTTTCTATCTCATTCTCAAAATGTAGCACCTTGTTCCTTTACCTTCCTGTTCTATATATTTTTTTCCTTCTGAGATCCCTGTGGACCTCTATTCTTTTTTTTTTTTAAGATTGATTTATTTATACATACAAGAACTGGGGTACAGGGCAGAGGTGCAGGGAAGTGGGGAGAGGGGTGAGAGGGTTTATCAGAGATGGGGGTTGACGCAGAACAGGCAGATCTACTGAAATACACTGCTGAGGGGATCAGTGGGCGAGACAGAAGTGGTCTGCTGTGCCATGTGGGTCAGCTCCCTGGCTGGCCTGGTATCAAACTCGTGCTGCAGTGGCGATAGCTTGATAGCGCTGCGTCTTTAACCCCTGTGCCACCAGGGAGGCCCCTGGAACTCCATTTTTTTTTTTAATGGAAAAGCTGCATTTGTGTCATCAGTCCAGTCTGCTCTCCTTTTTCTTTACGTCTAAGGAGAGACATAGGGACTTTCGGTGAGAACACTAGTTACTCAAATATTTAGAGAGGAAGTAGCCATTTCAAGATATAGTATGAAAGAAGGGAAGAAACAATAGGAAATAAGAGCAAAGGAGCCAGTGGAAGTGGTTTAAGAACGTATAGGATGGAAACTCTGTTATTGACGTCACATTAATTTCACTTTGAGGAGAATTCACATTGAAGGTTTGGACAATGAAACCGTAATTGTTTTCTATCCCATATTTCTTATTGCCACCTACCATTTGATACTCAAAGAATGTTCTCCTTAATGTTTTTATACTCGTCACTGGTAGGTCTTTAATTTTTTTCTTTTTCGGTAGCAATCGAATTCTACTGGTGCCAAAGAGAATTAGGAAAAAAAATAATTAGCTGAAACAGTCGCTTCAATTTAAGAGTTTTTATATCATGTGAGCAATGGTAAAGACAAAAACAACAAAACCCCCACCCTGTTTAAGTGACTGTAATGTAACTAAAACACAAAATTGAACATAATTCACGGTGTTTTAAGTCATACCTCTGCCTAAATCTGTTTAAGTGCACAAATAGCTATAAGAATAGTGCTACTAGGCAGTGTCACTGAAAATCATTTAAAAGCTAGGTAAGTAAATCTTACTTGGGCAAGTCAATAACATACCACCTTTTGTTTATTTATTGTTGTTTATGATTAATTTTGGTTCACAAACTGGCCTTGACACAGAGAGCAGTGAGAGGCCAAATAAAGAGGTAGGCTACTCCAGATTACTGGGTGACAGGTTTTTTAATTATTATTTTAATATATTTAATTTATATAATTCTTACATCATTTTTCATTTTTGCACAATGTCTGCATTTTCATTTTGGTTATATTCCCATACAATTCCACCCCCCTTATTTTGACCCTAATCCCTCCTCTCCTCCTTCTCACCCCGCCCCCCGTAGTATGTCTCTGGTTTATAGTTGCTTGTTGATTTTGATTTTTTCTTTATTATAATTAGTCTTTTTCTTGGTCCCTTATTTAGGTTTTCTAAATTCTTGCTATGAGTGAGGCCATCCGGTATTTTTCTTTTTCTTTCTGGATTATTTTGCTGCGCATGTTTTAATGAGCAAGGAACTTCTTACAAGGCTTGTCTTAGGAGGCTGCCAAGATGAGTAGCTCTCCACACCTGCCCTCCAAATCTTAAGTTTGTAAAACTGCTAACCAGATTAAATGAGACCTGGTTGAGGCAAAGTATGAATATTTATTTGGGGTTTTATTAGGACTGCAACTGTTAAGTCACGGATTAAAGTCCTTGAACTATGCTTTGGTGTTGAGGAAATGGAGGAGGATTATAGTGACTAAAACCACAATGAATAGGCAAGGTAGTTCTCATTCATGTTTGAGATGCAAATTAAATGAATAGTTCTAACAGTTTTTTTTTTTTAAAGATTTATTTATTTATACAAGCACTGGGTACAGTCAGAAGCACGGGAGGGTGAGAGAATTCACCAGAGCCAGTGCAGAGAGCAGAACAGGCAGACTGATGAAGTACCCTGCTGAGGGGAGCAGTGGGCTGCAGGAGAGGTCTGCGCACCATGTGGGACCCTCACCCGGCGGCCGGGGATCAAACCGGTGCTGCAGAGGCTGCGGGCAGCTTCTTAGCCCAGGGTTCAACCACTGCGCCACTGGGGAGGCCCTTCTAACAGTTTTCATATAAATTAGTGAAAGGTAAATTAGGTGAAAGTTGGCTAAGTAGTATGATTGGTGCAGACATGGAAAAAGGGTGTTTGTCAAGTCGAGAATGGTTCAAGTTCCAATCTCTGGGCAATCTCAGGCGAACATTCCAAGCTGTCAGTCTCCCATTGTTAGTAGATGCCTATTCAGGAAGTGGCGAGTCCGATTAGGCTCAATTATTTCCCAGAGATGGACGTGCCCATGCCTGCCTGTGGCCTGATTCCAAGTTGCCTCCCAACTCCAATTTAGTTCTTAGTCAGGAGAATCTTTTT